GCGCCGCACAGAGCTCCCAGCACCGTCAGCGGCGACGAGGTAATCACAAGTAAAAAAGTTCTCGCCCACGGGTCCCACGCAGGTGACAGTAACAGGATCCTGTTCTCCGGACTGTTTGGCGCCTGCAAATCGATTACTCCACCGAATCCGCACCTTTTCTCGTTCACAGTGGGAAAGAATGATTTCGGCCAGGGTATGTTGCCCGAGATGGATCCCAGCAAAGTTGTACTTCACTGCTCCCTTGGGTACTTGGGCCATTTTCAATTGAGCCAGCACCTCACCACCTTTGGCGTGGGACTTGCGAAATCTGATCCCCTCATAATTCTTGTGCCCGGCTTTTTCGATGTCCTCGAACAAGCCGACTTTCTCCAGTTCAGTCAATACAATTGGCATGTAACTTCGCAATGTCAGTGAGTCGTAAAAGTAGACAGGATCTAAAATTGCCAGGGAGAGAAAGATACTTACGTAGTCGCACGAGGACTTTGTAGCACTTGCTTCTCAGCTTCAAGAATGAGAACATCAATACCTGCCTGTGCCAACTTTAGGGCGAGAAGCAAGCCCACTGGACCAGCACCAACGACGATGACTTGAGCATGCTCGTAGGATACTTTGTCCGCAGATGGAACCAACTTCTCATTGATAGGGCTCATCTTGTCCTGTGGGAATCGATTGTGTTTAGGTCCGAGAAGCACTGGAGTTGGAAGGAAGTTGAGGGTATGAGAACGCTTCTTGAATTTGTGCTACAGCTATGGCGACGATGTGCATATGACTGCATAACTTTTTTGCATTTTGTTGACCCAATACGGCTTTACTCCCATCCGTCGGCCAAGAGTGGTAGGTAGACACCACACCGGCCTGGGGAAGTTGTCTGGGGTAGAGGCATGTGATTGATAGAAACTTGGCATTGCTATCCCCCACTTCCTAACTTGGACGCAAATGCATCCCACATTGCAGTGGCTACACTTCTCATCTGATGGCGTGCAGTGGCTACACGTTACATCTGATGGTCTAGGACCCATGGCACATCCAAAACCTTCAACATTCCTAATGCGACTTAGAGAGTAACGCCGCTTTTCATGCAGCTCCTACTGCGTCACTGCAGTCACGGTCAATTAAGGCGGCGTGAGCCTCACTGCGGACTCTTATTTTGACCTGGAAAGGGGGTTTGTTCTTGGTCAATTGAGGAATTCGCATCGAATCGATGGGAGTAGCCTGTGAGAATAGAAGTTAGGCACAAGTGGGTCTGAATTAACTCTTTTGGCTGTAAATCGAGAAATACCTTGTCTTCAATGAAATCAAAGCAATACAGAAGCCTTGCAGCGGCAATCCATACATTACTTTCTCCCACATTCCATCCCACGCATACGCGTCGTCCTTGTGCTCTGTCAGTGATTGTTCAATCAGTGGTGGATAGTCAGGGTAGGCGTACCTGGGCCAAATGCCCAATGGCCTTTCAGTCCATTATTCAAGTCGTTGTTGAGGAAACGATCGGGATAGAAACGCTCTGGATCGGGGTACTCCTTCGGATTCAAGGCTATCGCCCAGGCATTCCAAACGAAGACTGTACCTTTCGGAAAACTATATCCCTCGTATTCATCGTCTTGGGTGAGGGACGTTGGGGCTCCGATCTCGGCAATATTTGGTCGCCAGCGGAAGATCTCTTTAACTGTAGCTGTTATGTAGGGTAGATCATCTCTATCGGAAAAGTCTGGAAGTCGCTCTGCATTGTGCCCGCATACTCGGTCAAGTTCGGCCCTTGCACGCTGTACCCAGTCAGGATATGTTGCAGCACCGGCAATCATTTGGCCCAGGGAGACACGGGTAGTGTCGCTACCAGCTTCCATCAAAGTCCCGAGGGTAAACAGTTGCTGTGTCTCGTTGAAGTATTTGTCATCGTTTGATTTCAGGAAATCAACGGCAAAGCAGTCGCTTTGTTGCCCTTTCTCAAGACGTTCTTTCACGTTGTCAAGCTGAGTCTTGTAAACCCTGCCAAGAGTCAGCGAGAACTAAGCAACGACGTAGTTCTACGTGCTTTCGAGTATATTCGAACAAGCGTTCTCCTTTTGGTCTCCACCACTGGAGAATGTTTGGAAGTCGAGCAAGGATGGGAAAACCATCAACGATATTGGCCCCCGGTTGTTGTTGTTCCAAGAACATCTCGGCCGTTTCGAAGAGTTTAGTAACTTCTGGGTCATCGAGTTTCGAGCGGATTCCAAACACCACACTCATAATGACTGAATTTGCGTATCTCCCATTTGCGGAGAACCATCGATCAGAGTTGTGAAGATAATCGTGGAGAAGATGTTTGGACTCGAGATCCTGAAACTTTCGAAAAGTGTCCTTTTGTCGAGTACTTAGAATCTGATGCATCACTTTCCGAGTCTTCCTCCATCTATCATCATATGGCATCAAAACCAAGCGACCTCCTCCAGACATTATATCCTGGGTCATAGGAAATGGCGGACGAGAGGAGTAAATAGCAGCGCGTTTCTCCATCAAGTCTGTAACAACCCGCGAAGAATTGAGAAAGACCCAGGTACTGCCCCCAAATTTCACAGTAAACCTAGCAATACAGGTCAGAATTTTCCAGGGAGGAGAAGCAGGGTCGTACTCACATCTCGCCATACTTCTCGGCCAGCTCCTTCGCCCATGGACCTTGCTGCGTGGGGGGAACTTGAAAAGCATTTCCAAAGACTGGAATTCCTGGTACTAAGGGTGGCAATTTATACTTTTTGGCACTCTTCTTCCCCGCAAAGGTGGTGAGATAAAGTAAAACTACAGCGGCCACTACTAGCAAAAGTGGAAGACGATCCATTTTGTTGAAGGGTCGAGAGCCTGATGAGAAGTGTTAGATGGAAAAGCAATTCTTTGGTAACGGGAGTTGCTACTGAATTTAACTACTAGCAATGTAGTATGAACTGTCTTTTCGATCCACTAGCGTCTTACCCATTTGATTGTACCGAGAATTGCGGCACTTTTGGTTCGGCTTTCTAAGATGGTGAAGAATGTGGGGTTTGTGGAGGTAAGAAACGCCCACCATCTACCATCAGACTAGACTTCATCTGAAAGGAGTTTTGGATCCTTTGCAGGTGCGTGAAATTTAGCATTGGGGCAAGCTCAGTCTTCCAATTTGATGCTTAGCACGAAGGAATGGACGGATTGAGGTAATTTCTCTTCTTTGTAGAGCGACAATTGCGGTCGGTACGTATTATGGTTCTTGATGTTTGCTACGAGATTCGTGCAGACAGGGATACGCATGCGCTATCAACCACCACCAAAGAACTCAGATCTTGTTCAATACATCATGAGTATGCCACCACGCCCTCAAACGCTTCCCAAACACCCACATTGGAATAGTCGTGAGGCAGAGAGCCAATTGTATACCACCAATGGTATTGAACATCTTCGCAGGGCCCCAGGCCGCAACCCAGTCGTTTAGGAAATCTAATAAAAGTCGCGTCAGTAAGAGATGCAGTTGATACCGTGTGCTCGGCCGGGTGTACTCACAGGAGAAACCATAGAACAAGAAGTTCTTCGTGATCATCGAAATGATGAAAACCTCGATGCTGATGTTGCGGAAAGCATCGACCATATAAGATCCCACAGCAACTGTCACAAATTGAACAGAGGCGACCATTATCGCCCAAATGGCTGCAATCCCAACCGCACTCTTACCCTGTACAATGAGATTTCCGAAAAGGAAGTATCCGATGACAGAACACAATGTGGCAAAGGCCATGATAACGAGACGAAACTCCGGTTCGTAAGTGCCATTGTTGCGTCGACTGATGTACTTCACTATCGGGTCGGATATCCAACCACATAAAATGCAGCCTAGCGTCCCACCAACAACTGGGCCGGCGGAGAGATAGCCCAAATCAGTGGTATTGAGGAGATAAGGGGGTGCTGAAAATATCTGAGCTATGACGAATGAAATCCCGACCAACCAAAGAGTTGGAAACGCGATGAGCACGACTGCCCATACAACGGCTGGATTTAGTAAGATGAAGAATGGTCGGACGACCATCTTTATAATAGACTCATCAGTGTAGGTTCCATTCAGGGGCAACATGTGCCGAAAGATGGACCTGCGCTCTGTAGTAGCAGTTGTCGATACAGTCGCAGTTCTTTCCAAGTTCGACTCCTCGACGTGGCCTGATCTATTGGCTTTCATTTCTTCAATCACTTCAATGTTCTGTGTTCAGTTAGTGGTGTCCATAGCAATATTGCTCGCACTCACATCTTGAGAGGAAGTGTCAATGTTGTAGATCTCATTGCGGTTGTAGGCCGTCTCCCACCCGAATAAGACGACCCCGACCCAGGCGATACCAAGGAAAATGGCAAGTAGCCAAAAGACCCAACGCCAGCCAAGATCAGTCGTGATCTTGCCTGCCAGCATGGCTGGCAAATTTGCTATGCCAGAGTTCGAGGTGACATAAATGGCCATTCGAGAGCCTCTTTCATGCACAAAGTACAAATCACCGATGACAGAGAACATGACGCTTTCAAACATGGCCACACTGAGTCCTTGAACGATGCGAGCACCCAGTAGAGATTCGTATGACTGTGCAGCGCCACCCCAGATTGTGCCTACGAACGCACATGTGACAGAAAAGAGTAAAGTCGGTCGTTTGCCATATTTGCGAGCAAGCGCAGAGATGAAGATCCCTACTGCGCCAGTGGCGCAAAGACTGTAGCCCGTGAGGAGCGAGACTTGAGTGAAACTGAGCCCAAATTCCTGGATCAAGATGATTGCCATGGAAGAAAGAATTGGGCCAATGCTGCAAGGGTGATCAGATGGATGAATTGACAATAAGGTGGAATGAAGGCTTACCCTCCAATGCACAACAAAGTTGCAAAACAATACAAGGCCAGTAAAAGATCTCGCTGCCAAAGCGGCCAGTTCAAAGGATCATTGGGACTGCTGGAGGGCTGTGGAATGAGAAGAACGTGAGAGTTCTTCCCTGTCGCCCTCTTCAAGTTCGCTGAGGATTCCACCCATTGTGCATCGTGAGTGTCAAAAAGGGAAGTTCCTGGCACATGCTTTAGACCGCTGCGGGATTCGAGGACGCCGTAGCCCATTGCGTAATGATTTTGGTGAAATAAGGTAGGTGTGTTATATCCTGCAAAAGTGTTCTTCGCTATCCAGCAGGGGATAACGTTGCTAATAATAAGGACGATATCCCCTTAAAAGGAGTACTGCATCTGGATATTGGATCCCCCACACTTGCCAGGCAGGATTGCAGGAGGTTGGAGCTCCCACAGATAGAAAAGACGGAGGCGATGTGGGGTTTTGGGTAGGCTGAAAATGGTTACCTCGAATTACTACTCAATTACTACCACATACAGTAGGTGCCATGACCACGAAGGGCTGGTCGATTTCAAATCCTTGGCCGCACCCTTGGCCGGTATTACCCAAAGGATGAACGCACAACCAGATCTAGCCGAGACAGCTCCACGTTGACCTCGCTATCGAAATCCAACGTCCTGCGATCGGACACACATTCGACTTGTTGGCTCAACCACGCAAGCGGACCGCAACTAAATTCCCGCATGTGGGGAAGCATTTTCCCCGGATGGTCCGGATGGGGGCGAATCCCAGGATCCGGCTTCATTCTCGACTGTGCAAGATCAATCTCCGTTGGAGAGTCTGAGCTTGGGTCTTGCCAATTGCATGGCAAATAAAGGCCCATAAATGGCTTTTAAACTGCGTACGCCCAGATGTCGTGCCTTCACAAATACTAAAAGCTCAAGCTTCACATATAACCAACAATATAACACAATTTTGCAAGTACATTACATCATGGGACCACGACGCATCCTTGAATTCTTTGCTCTGGCATTACGTTTTAGCCTTGTGTGTTCGCAGGGCAATGCCGTCGTTTCAATTCCTGTTCGCGATACATTTGTTTTGCCCCCAACGTTTGTGAGCAACTATTCCCAGAAGTTTGTTGATACCGTGGTTCCAAATGGAACCGTCGAGAATCTGCTTCTGCAGGCTCAAAATGCAACCTATATTACCTATGATGCCGAATTCTCTGCTATCATCGGTTCATCGCCTCAAATCCAGCTCCTTGCTGGCCCTCTCGACGTAGGCTTTGCCTATGAAGCAGGAGTCTATATTCCAGGTCAGAATCTCGTGTGGTTCACAGGTGCCGAAATTGATGGTCCTGGAAGGGTGGTCATGGCGATCAATTTGACCGACCATGAGGTGTACAAACCCAAACTTACTGAGCCTGTCATCACTGCCAACGGCGGGTCGTATTATGAAGGCAAGGTGTATATCACCCACTTTGGGAATCGAACATACGCAGGTGGTGTTGTCGCAATCGACCCGCTTACAGGTGAAACAACTACGCTCGTGAACAGCTATTTTGGCGTCCGCCTAAACGGCCCGGATGATGTGATCTGGGCAGAAAGAGGCGAAAACCGCGCTATGTTTTTCACCGATGTTGATTTCGCATCTGCCTTGAATCTTACCGGACCGCCAGCGCTGCCTAACGCTGTATGGCGTTTTGATCCACAGGCAGAGTCACTACAAGCGGTCATTCCCCGATCGGATATCTCAAAACCCAATGGCATTGCTGTCAGTCCTGGTTACACAAAGTTATATATCACAGACACGCCGCTGTCCGGTTTACAGGGCATGGGGCCTGGAAATACCACAGGATCTGCCGCGGTTTATGTTTACGACCTTGATGATACTCTCACCCCTGTGGGAAAGCGTCTTTTCTCGATTGCAAGGACGGGAGTCCCAGATGGTATCAAGGTTGATAAGCGGGGTCGAATATGGACGGGAGAAGGAGAAGGCATCGTTGTCCGCAATGATGGTGGCAAAGTCCTGGGGACCTTTAACGCCAGGACACTCCTGGAGGACAAAAATTCTCATCTCGCGAATTTTGCGTTTGCTGATGATCGACTCATTGTACTAGCGGTAAATCAGATCTGGTCAATCCAGCTAGCTCAAGTTGTGGGATGGACTTCGGACTCATAGTTGTGGAGCTTTGGACCAACTCGGACACCCCGATCATGATAATCAATCTAGTTGACTGGCTTCACACCGCTCACGGAAGTGATCGCATGAGGTTTCGGTGAAAAGTATCGTGTTGCTTCAATTTGAACATCTCTCGTTGAAAGATCTGGTGATATTGTTAATCATATTGCTGTTGATCTTCTTGTAGTATTGATAAAAGAGAACACAGTGAATATGTTCTTTGTGCAGGTGGAATGAGACTCACTGCCGCTTCCACTTTTCGACGAACCCTTTGTCGCAAGCTTGGAGCAGAGCGATGAGATGGCAGTCGAAACGTTTCGGACTCATTCTGGTCTTCTTAATCCTTGCACAAACGCTGGTATGCTTAGGGCTCCCCATCTGTACGTTTATGGCAAACACGAAAAATTACCGAGTGACCAACCCGAGAGCAGTCGGGAATCATTTCCACTGAGTGAATGCTACTTGAAAGTAGAATATTAGTAAACTGGAGTATCCTTGACTGCCTCATTCATTCATGAGCCTTTTTCTTGACCACGATGTTGTTAACTCAAGACTTTCCCGTCGACTGTCGCGAGGAAGGATCGTTTTCAACTTCCACAATCACCGCGTGTATCGCCACCCCTCGATTCCTCTCAATAGCTTACCCGTCTGATCGTCTTTCTTATTCAATTTCGCAAAGATTACCATATAGATACCCGTACCACAATCAACGCGGCTTGCACCCCCATGGTGGTGTACAAAGTCGGACCGTAGGTTGGTGCATCCTGACTCCGGAAAATAGTGCTGCCAATGATACCACCGGTGACAGAGTAGGCCAGATTCGCGACCGAAATGGCCATCCGAGCGTTAGTGCCAACAGTGTTGTTTTGCCCGAACGTCAAAATGACCATCTGGTTTCCTAGAAACCCGCAATACTGGACCCTGTGGTTGAACCCAAGACAAACGACTGTGGAGTGCACATAGTTAGGATGAATTGTCAATACTCACTTGCGAGTCCGGCGAGTGTCATAGCTGCCAGGAATATGATTAGCGGACCTCTGATGCGGAATTTAGTATCAATGATAGCTGTGATGGCCAGCATCCCAATTGCAGTACCATACGGCGTCGCGAGTAGAGAGAGGTCTGTATCCCTGTGTGTCCCAAACCCTCACCGGAAGAAGTCAGCCACGTGTTTCTCCTGGATTTTCTCTACGTGCTGTATTGCACTTAACTCACGGTCAAGATTGTAGGAGTGAAAAAAGCAAGGCCGTATGTCGGCACAGTTACAGTAAGGTAGAGGAGAGAGATGTTCCAGATCCGCCAGTCACTACAGTTCTCTTCGAAAGCTGCCAATGGTAAGTGCTCTGTTTTACCGCCCCTTTCCTCGCGAAGACGATCGAGTACCCACTTCCGCTCTCTAGGCTTAAGAAACGGTGCTGTGTCCGGGTAACCGGTGAGGAATAAGTAGGCAAGTAGCGCAATCACCATAGTGAACACTTCTTCAAGCTGTGCGATCCAGTGTACTAACAAGAGTCAATCGGAGGCGGAATTCAAGCGCTTACGATGAATATCAAGCGTCGACCCAACGTCCCACCAACACTGGACGCTTGTGCCATGCCAGATGCAAGGAGTCCGACCCAACTGTTCGGACGCTGTAGAACATGACTTGGTCGCCGATGAAGTTCGTAGCGTAGATACCAAGAGCCCAGCAAAAGGCTGCCCCAGTTGCGATGCCACCTTCAAAGACACTAAGCATAGCACGTAGGAAAGCCACCACTTGCCAGTTAGGGCAAAACCGATACCAAGCGTAGAGACGCCGGGCGGGTATGTGATCAGAGAGATCCATTTCTTGAGTCCTATCTTCACCAGCAATATACTAGAAGGCATTTCTGCGAGGATATACGTAGGAAATAATACCAGTCAGTATGCAGATTAGCGAGAGCCGATGTCTATCCCTAGATCAAGCTTCATGCCCATCACCTAAGGTTTTGGGCATGCAAAAAGACCTTCAATTGACTGGAAATCGATACAATGTGATCGCCCAGACTCTTTTTCCAGCTTACTTGCTCGCGGAGCTACCTTCGAACTACATACTGGTTAAGCTCACTCCCAAGATCTGGCTGTCCTTCCTCGTGATGCGTGGGGTGCGATACTCACCGGCATGGATTTGCAAACAATTGGAAAGTCGTCGCCTTCCTTCGCTTCTTGCTGGGTGGCTTTGAAGGCGGCGTCCTCCCAGGAATAGTGTATCTAATCAGTTCTTGGTATGTGATTCGAACACCACCGGGGTTCCTTGGGAGTCACAGACTGACAGATCTGTCTAGGTACTGCCGTTACGAGGTGCATCGACGTTTGAGCTGGACATACTCAGTTGGAGTCCTCGCGTCCGCTTTCGCAGGTGTCCTCGCGTACGCGATTGGATTAATGGACGGTCTTCGCGACATGAAAGGATGGAGGTGGATCTTTGCGGTACAGATACTCGTACCAGGTCAGGTTTATTCCCTATGAAGCTAATTCATCGATAGCTCGAGGGCGCCGCGACTATGTTGATAGGGATCATATCTTAGTGGACTATACCGGACTTCCCCGAGAACTCGACACTCCTCAATTCCGAGGACAAAGAGCTATACACGGCCCGGCTAATGCGTGATCGCGGCAGCGCAGAAGTAGAGAAGATCACCTTCCGAACTCTCAAGGAGGTGCTCAGCGACTGGACGAGTTGGCTCCAATTCTTGCTCTTCACGTTCACCAACACGTCGACATACAGCCTTGCGTTTTTTGTGCCGACGATCCTCACGGTATATTTTCCTTGCCTCCAATGCCGCGTCACAGGTTCTAACAATAATTCGCAGGGGATGGGCTACACTGGACTCAAAGCAAGTCTATACTCGGCCTGGCCCTACCTAGTCACTATGGGCGCCATGTGGATCTTTGCCTATATTAGTGACAAGACCAGGATGCGCACGCCGGTCATATGCGCTCAGAGCCTTCTCTTGTTGATCGGTCTCCTTCGTAAGTTGCCCTATCCCTTCAGTGGAATTGGCCGTCTTGACGATGCCCTAAGTCATCCGACCCAACTATTCCCACAGCGTCCGGTACTTCGGCGTCTTTCTGGCTACCATCGGCTGTCAATGCAATGTCCCGGCACAGCTATCTCTCGCGTAAACCAAAGCATCAGGATCCGCTAAGCGATCGATCATGGCTGCTGTTGTGGTCTGGGTGGCCCCGTGGGTGGTATAGTGGGTAGCAATATCTTCCTCCAGCAGGATGCTCCTACATATGTTCCTGGTTTGTATACAACAGTTGCCATGGCTGTGGGGATCATTGTCGGGAACGTTCTTCTTGCATTTGTGTACCTCAGGGGAAACCGAATCGCTGAGCAGACAGACGTCGCCGTGGACGGTGTCCCAGGGTTCAAACATTCGTTGTGATTCCTGTACGACGGTGGATAAGGAATGCAGGTTTGTCAAAGACAAGATGGTAGTGACACATCTGGAGATGGTCATTATGGTCTGTATCCGTTTAGCACTATGATTTCGAAGAAAATAAAACAGAACTAGGCGAAACACATCTCCACATCGAAGGCCGTATCTTGGATTATGATGGGAAGCGATTCGGTGAAGAAGTGATGGCATATCACGTCGTCGTCATCTTTTACAAGGCTTGGGTCTCGGCAACACGGTTGCACGAGTTCTGGCCGCATGCGGGAAGATACTAGGCCCCTTGATAGCACAAAGATATTAATGTATTAAAGTTTATCACCTATCTTCATTGTACAGTAGCTTTATCCTGTGGCCGCACCACCCGGCTGGGATTGTGCTGCTATCCGGCGCCAGGTGGCCCGGGAACGATTGGCTGATAAGCTGAGATACTAGGTAGGAGCCGAGCACGGGTTTGCTTTTACGATAAGCCCTAAGTAACCTCCTACCTTACGGAAGGAACTCTACCCTATAATGATTAGAAATCCGTGTTGGACAAAAAAAAGATTTACCGGGATATAATATCTGGAATATTTAGTTAATATAATAGACTAACGTTAGCGCCGTAAACTCTCGGTGATCACCTATATCAGACTATTTATTTCTCGGCAGATTTTCCAACCCATTTCTGATCTGAGCAGTTCGAATCCGGTTAAGGTCCGACCGTAGCTTACTCCGCCGAGGCGACTTATTGGCCTCAGAACCTACTTCGCCGTAAGTATAATAGATACAGAACAGAGCTAGAGCTGTCTGGAAGACAGGTAAAGATCAAGCATATATAGGTTGAGGGGGCTTACCGAAGGGTCAATAAGATTTTTATCCTTGTTCAAAGCATCACTCCTTACCCAAAATTTGACGCCCTCTATGATAGCAAGTGTTCCGCTCTTTTTGCCGGGAATGGCACGGCTATCGAATTCTTGTGTGCTTAGTAGCTTGCCCTCGATTGAGAAGACTGCCTCTTTGACTCTGGCAGGCTGGACCGATGAGCAGGCAACTGGGGTGAGGCTCGAGATCTTCCACTCTGATTCACCGTAGGGTGCATTAATCGAGGTAGAGTTGGCGGCCTCCACATAGTGCTCCGACACCATGTTGATTACGCCTATCCGATAGACCAATTAGCCAAAGCTATCTGACGAAATTTCCCAAAAAGATATGATGCACATAGTGCCATGAGTATCTTACATTCTTTCGTATCAACCAAATTCTTCAAGCAGTCCTTTGCTCTTGCCATCGGCGAGAGGAATCCGATGACAAAGATCGGTGGATCATCATTAACGATCTGTGAGGGCATCTTCCGAATCGCCGGGCGTGTTGGGTCCTGCAGAGACTCAGGGGCCAGAATGGCCAAGATGTGTCTCAGTGTGCCCGTGCAGTGGATCCCCGTCGGTGGGAGCTACGGCGCCGTTGTCAGACCTATCGTGTGCCTCAGTTCCGGAACAGGCCTTGGGCATCCAGTTTGTAGGGGTTTCCAAGGGGCTTCGAGAGGCATCATCCACATGGCGAAACTGTTGTAACAGACAAAAATGTGAATTCTTAGGCACTATTTTGGGGCCTAATAATATAGCGTTCGCATTCCACAACTCCGTAATTACTGACTTCAGTATCTTGTCTAGGGTCGCCAGAAGTGAGATCGATCTCCACGCTCTCGCGTATGTGTAGTTGTCCTTGACGGGCCTTTTTAACGGTATAATTTTCGCATGTTTCCACTGAGTAGATAGTTTCCCTTGTCGAGAGATACTCGAAATAACGTCAGCACGTGGTGCTTAACGGGTGGCCACACCTAGTTTCAGACGACTGTTGATAGACCGTCCTCTTTGGGTATCTTTCACGACTTTGCGCTACGTAGTTATCATTCCACTGCTTCTATGGTGATAGTAGGTATCGACACAGGGGCTCTCTGTGATCTAAAGCCTTCGTCTTCGATATATTCTGACAGGGAAGTAAAGAAGGTAGTTAGTAGCTCTTGTTGAAGATTCAGTTCAGATGCCCTCCGACGTGGGATGATAGGGAGAAAGATTAGTCATTTCTTGGTCATCATTGTAAATACATTTCGGAATCTCCCTCTGAGAGGGTGTATATATATGTGCAGGACGGAGCCATGATTGTGAAGACAATAACAACGAATTAATGGAAAACCATCTCGAGCCTGAGCATAATCTCATATCCTCATCAATATCTCTACTCTGCTGCCTCTTCACGTTATGTCTATCCCGATTGTGGCGGTGCAACTTGATCCCGGGGGTAAAGCATATTTAATAGAGTACAGAGAATGACACCATACATAGCATATACTCGGAGCCATGGTGCATACTCGGTAGTGATAGACTTGGGGGGTTTCGGCTGCGATTGGGTGGTCAATATGGGCCTTTCCTGGGCTGCAGAGCGACGCCGAAGTGGTGACGATCTTAAATTTGGGTCCATGATACTTTCTGACATACTGATGAATTTATAAATACGAAAATAATATTATCTAATGAATTGGTGTTGATGCAGCCGCGTATAGTGCTGGATAGAAGATGAAATAAGTGTTGGGGGATGACTAAGAAATTTGTATGTGGATTGAAGATGAATGGATTGAAGATGACGCTAATGAGTCTTGGCACCGATTTGTATGTGGATTCACGGTGAATCCATACCAGAATAATGTTAGGGTATTACTATCGCATAAACAGTTTTATGCTTCGCCAAGATATTTTATGAACATCCGAGCCGTCAGTGACGTAAGTTGGCGATCCAAAGTAAACAATCCTGCCCTTCAATCTTTAGCCAAGTTGATTTGACATTCGCAATCCGCGTGTTGCTATATCATGTTCGGTGTCCTCGTCGATATAACTGTGCGATTGCAAGGTTGTGAGTTGCGGAGGATAGCTGGAGTATGAGCAACAACTCTGAGCCTTCCTCGGCAGGGGCAGCGGAGAAAGAGCGGAAGAATGAAGCGGCGACAGACGGGCAGGAGCACGCTCCACTGCCAGACTCGAAAATCTCAGTTGACCTCGCCGACTCGCCATACTTCACCCATGACGACGATGAGAAGCCAAAGAAGAAAGGCCTGCCAGAATGGCTCAACCACTTCAACGCGAAGGACTTGAAGACGCTGTTCAAGTGCTCGGCCGCAGTCTGGATCGCGACACTGTTCCTACTCGTCAATCCAGTCCTCGTTGCATATGGCCAGGCCACTTTCTTCGGGTGCATCGTGCTTTTTATTGTGCCGTGCAATGGCATCGTCTTCATTCATGTCATGGGCGGGCTGACCATGGTTGTTGGTATGGCCGCCGCGTGGGCGTGGGGTGTGATCTCGATGAAGGCAGCGTTGGCTACTCGGCCGGCGGCTGAGACGAATGCGAGACTGGCGCAACTTGTAGCCCAAGCCACTCGGCAGCAAACGAATACCGAGCAGACGACCGGACAGTCGACTTATACCCAGGTGCTCATCTTCGAAGGATTCATGCTTGATACAAGGGTCACTATCACATACTTCTGCATGATCGGTCTCTTCGTCTACTTGGTTGCACGCATCCGCGTTGCCGCACCGAAGCTTGCATTGCTCCAGGTGTTTGCGATTGTCGTCTCGGACATCTTCCTCACGATCGGCCCTTTGATCCCGAGCTTCTCTGGCACGATACCTTCTGTCCTGATCAAGCCGGCGGCCACAGCAATTGCAATTGGCGTGGTGTGCAACATTGTCTTTTTCCCGCAGTCTACCTCGCACCTTGTCTTGGAGACCATGGAGGGCGTTGTGGCTCCAATGAAGGGCTTTTTCAATGCTTGCAAGCTGGGCTTCAGAGACTCACATGCGAAATTCGATCTGGTGCAACTCCAGAAAACCAAGGCGGGTACCATAGCCGCCTACAAGGGAGTGGAAGCTAGCCTGGGCTTCCTCGCGCTCGATCTGTCAACTGGGCGATGGAGCGCTGAGGATGTACAGAGCTTGCAGGAACCTCTGCGTCAGCTTGTCATCATGTTTCTGGGACTATTGCAGCTTCAGATCACTCGTGTGGAATCGGGGATAAAGAATGAGAAGCTTGAATTATTGGATGAGGTTATGCATGGAGGAAACACGGATACTGAAATGCCCGAGATCGGCCACAATCATCTAGTACAAGCGCTGAGTCTGAGAGATCGCTTCCGACATCCGGAGACCGAAGACTTGTTGGAAAAGAGTATGGGAGCTTTGTTAACATCGAGCGGATCGCTGCTCGACACTTGTGCTGATGTGGTGGACGCGGCTGTGGAGGCTTTGCAGACTGTTAACCGCAGGCGGTGGTTCAATAAGCCCGGTTTTGACGAATGCGATATGCTTCGGCTGAAGCATGAGAAGGTCCTCACGAGGCTCAAGGAAGATCAGAAGCAGTTTGAAGTACTGAGTTCACAACATTTGCTGGATCCGCACAATCATCTATTCGACGAACATGGGCATCTAAAGTTGCAAGGGCACGCCGGTGCTCCCGTGCACGGCCTGATGCTCGGGTTGATATTCGAAGAGCGAATTCTGGGCGTGGCTTCTGGCTTGGATGCGCTGCTTACCCGAGTCATCAGACTCGAGCATGATCGGACGAAGACGAAGATATGGTTTCCGACGAGTTTGCGCAATCTGTTCTCGTGGGGCCTTGTGGAGGACGCTGCTCCTGGTGTCACTGCAATGTCAAGCGACAGCGATGGTGCAGAGCTGGAGAAAGTTGTGACAAAGAACGAAAGAAAGATATCAAAGAAGAGGAGCAAAGAGGAGAAGGAGGCAGGAGCACAGGAACAACTCGACAGACTTCACTTCCACCGCGGCACGAAACGAAGTACTTTCGGAAAGACCTTGCTCGCGATCACGCACTGGCTGGGAAACACCGAAGGCCTGTACGCTTTGCGAGTGCTGATTGTGACAATTGCGATGGCACTTCCTGCTGTCTTGACTTCTAGCGCGGGCTTCTACTATCGCGAGAAGGGTCTCTGGGCTCTGATCATGTCTCAGACTGGCCTTGTGGCGTACACCGCCGACTTCGTGTATGGCTTCACTCTCAGAACGATCGGGACAGTTGTGGGAGGTATCCTGGGCATGGTATGCTGGTACATCGGAGCCGGAAACGGGCCTGGAAATCCCTACGGTATGGCTGCGATCATGGCATTGGCGATTGTTCTCTTGATGTGGGCGAGACTGTTTGCTCCGCCAGCACTCCTGCAGGGCGTACTCCTGGTGGCATCGACAATATACCTTGTCGTGGCATATAGCTGGGTCGACACGCATATTCCGTCGTACGGCAATCCCGGTGTTGGCTACTCCGTCTTCTGGCGGAGAGCTTTGCTTGTGATGATCGGTTTCACGGCGTCGGCGATTGTGATCTTCATCCCGCGGCCGCCCTCCGCATCAAGGCATTATCGACGCGTTCTATCGAGCACCATTCGAAGCAGCAAGGATTTATACGCGCTATATGTCACGTCGTGGTCGCACGCGTATTCGGATCTGAAGGAGACGTCAGAGATGCAGATATTGACCAATTCGGAGACTCTTGCGGCAATTGCTGGCCCGATTAGACTGTTGAAGTTTGAATTCTCAAGCTCGAACTTTGATGCGGAGACGCTGACCCATGTCACGAATCTGTGTATGACCATCAATCAAAGCTTGAGTCAGCTGTTGATGTATTCGAATTTGCTTGCGCAAGATCTGAAGGAAAGATTTGCGCGCCTGTCTGGCGCTCTGGATGAGCGCATCATCGGCGATCTGATGGCGGTGCTGACCCTGGTTGAGCAGTCACTGAAGACAAATGATCCATTTCCAGCGGTCTTGCCGGTGCCACTTATCGCGAGATGCGTTGGCCTGAACAGAGCGTTTGCCAGAGAAGAAGCTGGACAAGGAACTCTGGGCATTGACGCTGTTAGGGAGGAAGGTTTCTGCAAGTATTGCGTTGTGCTGAGCGCGTTCATTCAGCTGCTGGGCGCCGCGGATGAGCTGGTCTGGCGAGTCAAGACTGCGGTTGGGGAGACGAGCTATGTCGATATTGAGCAGCCGTTCTTGTCGAGAAACGAGGGCTAGAATCGATTAGCTCCATGAGTATAACGCAGCGTTAAATACTGCCTCCCATGCGTCGTAATCCCTCGGCCGTAAACACCCCGTTAGACCGTTGTGAGAGGAAGTTAACATGGAAGAGTCCTAGAATAGAAATCCACCCACAAAGTACGGTTCGATGCCATAAAAACTCCCTCTGTCTCTCTACACGTAACACAATAGACATATTATTGTGTCTTAAGCCTGTCAGGTAGAAGTATGCAGCAGAGGAAAGAGTATCACGATGATGGGCGTCCGGAACCCGACCTCGAAATTACACAGATTCCTCCACCGATAATGGCCTCAGCATTCCTCCCTTCCACATACATTGTTCATGTAAGGTTGTTCATGCTCGTTAGTGTGTCGGGATGTCCAACCCCTAATTCTTCTTCCTTTACTCGTGTAAGATCCGTACCTTATATTCGCATCTTCATTGGTCGAGCCCTCGTAGAAATTCCCTGACTTAGGCTATAAAGTCGCGGTTCCGATTTACAAGCCGATGCAGTCGTCCGTGTATTATCAACATCGCCATAAAATCTACCAGTACATATAGTATTAATGTACAATCAGGCGCCTACTAGCGGAAAGCTGCTGAAAAACAGGTCACTCATATCGATCCTTTGAAAGGTCGTCATTCAGCCGTGTTGGAGGAATTCGGGCAGAACGAGCCTCATATGTCTTGTATAAGCCTCATCGGTAAGAGATGTTTAAACCTGATCAATCTCAAGTACTGTGCCAACCTTTCTCTCGTTCTCCATCTCTAAGTCCTGAACTTCGACCTCGCCTGAAGGATGTAACACAGTGTCTTGCCGTACATGCTTTGACGCCTTCACCACACCGAACGGTCCCGTGGGGGTTCTGAATGTTACGTCCATATCTTCTAGAGAGTGACCTGTAGTCTCAGGGAAGAAGAGATAGACGACTGTTGTCGAGGATTAGCAAAAATAGGTCATCATTAGCCAAACTAAAAAGCGGCTTTATCATACCGGGAAAGAGTAGCCCCAAATTGATGGCAGCGAAGACAATGAAATACTTCCATCCCAGATTTGTGATGCCAATCGGACTGACCTCAACGACCATGAAAGTAAGGGCAAACTGGGAAGCTGTCGACAGTGCGTAGATCTGCGTGCTATAGCCCAGTGGAGTGATTTCCGTGGGGTAAAGCCAGTTGACACCCAGAGACATGCTGTAGAAGAAGCCAAAGCCGTACATCGCGACTGCTGCAATTATCATGGCCGCCTTGTTCGCCGGGACTAGGGAAACACAGACTGCCATTATGACGAAGACGATGCCCATGCCAGCTGCACCTAGGAGAAGGAGAAATCTTCGCCCAAGGCGATCGACCAAGAGATAGGCGAGCATGCAGCAGGGAACTTGCCAAGCATACATGGAGCCAGAGAGTACGCGAGCAATAATTGCACTGACTCCGAGCGAGGAAAAGATGGGGACGGTGTAGAACCCAATCAGGCCGGCGCCGTTCAACGACCAATAGAATGTGATGAAGAGACAAACAAGTGTTCGAAATTTCATTTTGTTTTCTTTGTCTCTGAGGATACCCACCATGCTTCCCTGGCTCATTGTTTCGAGCGATCGCTGCATATGGCGGATCCCTTCCGCAATGCGAGGGGAGTCGGGACTAACGTCGTCCAGGATCGCTAGAATCTCGACAGCTTCTTCGATTCGACCTTTCTTTACCAGCCATCTTGGCGATTCAGGCAAAAAGGGGATCGTGGAAAGCATGAGGAAATTGAAGAGAAGTGGGATTGCCAAGGGGAAGCGCCATGAAAAGCTCGTGTTGTCAAAAAAGCACCCAAGGTCGATGAATTGGAAAGCCACCAGACCCAGAGATGGGAATGTACCTTCAAGGACGACAAATCGGCCTCGATGTGTGGCAAGTGAGGATTCTGCTTGCCAAGCTGGAACAGTCGCTACTCTTTACGGGATGTTAGACTCGAGTCCTCGGAGAAATTGCTGCACAGGTGACTTACATGGCTCCAAGACCAAGTCCGAGGACGATACGGCCAACAACCAATTGAGCAAAGGAGAAGCTTGAGACCAGGATGATTGAGCCAAAGACGTTGACGATGTTGCCAGCGATTATGGTTTTGATTCGACCATATTTATCTCCGAGCTTAATGCATGAGAGTGAACCGAGCATGCATCCGACTAGATAGATGGCCACTGCCGTGCCTTGAAAGAAATCAAACAGCCATCTTAGAACGCATAATGATCGGCCCTGGGCACGATTGAAGCTGCTTACCTTGCACACGAGCGGCCTGAGCCTGTGCCGCGCCTGTGGTATGGACTGTGTCGATGATGGGAAACAGCGACACCCAGGAGTCCAAGGTCAGCAACCCCCCAGTGACCGCATTATTATACTGCCAAAATACCATGTTAGCTCCCTAGGGCAAGACCTGGGCCGGATCTTCCTTACCGCATAGATAAAGAACGTAGGGAAAACGTTGGTGAACGCCATCATCCAGGTTAGACGCCTACCACGACAGCCCAAGAAGGAGGAGTGACGGTTCTTCATGTTGGCGGCCGTAGATATGGTGCCTCAATGCTACAGTGGTGGAGAATGTTGTGGATTATGGCAGTGGAAGCATGGATTGATTCTTATTCATCTTCTACTTTCTAAGGAAGTAGAAGTATATATACATCGAAGTGACATACTAGAAGCTTCCCTACAATTTCCAAGCATGCGGAATGATTCCATAAGGCTTTTGTCAATGTCATGATAGTCGGTTGAGCCTCATATCACAACATTCCCCCTCAGCATCGTTATACCATTGGTATTTGGTATGGCGATGCTAGACTTAGCTCAATCGACTGGGCCTCGGTAAAACCACCTAAAATCTTTACAAGGACAAAAAAGTGGAAAGAGCGCCTCTGTCGTATTACGGCTTTTTCTTCAATATTGGCTAATGAATCTCACCCTCCATACCGATGAGGCGAATGAAGTTCTTCAGTTCGGTAGGACCGAGTGGTTTGGTGAGTCCATCCGCCGCTTCGAGCGTTGTGGGGATATAGCGGATATCAATGGAACCTTGTTCCAGAATGCTTCGTTGATAATGGAGCTTGACGTTAAAGTGCTTGGTGCGTTTGTGAAACTCAGGATTGTGCGAGAGAGCGATGGCGGATTGATTATCGGCCATAATGTGTGTGACGGGTGAATGATATATTCCCGTTTCTTCAACAAAGGTACGAAGCCATTGCAGATGCACAATGGCATTGTACTGGCCAATGTATTCGGCGTCAGTCGTCGACGTGGCAATTTCCCCCTGTTTCTTGGATGACCAGCAGATAGGTCATCCAGCAAGTTTGAATACATACCCTGACGTCGAGTATGCTCCCTCGGTGACTACTGTTCCACCGAAGTCGGCGTCGGTGTATCCAATCAACCTTCCTCTACGATAGGTAATTTGGAGGGTCTGTGTTCCTTTGAGGTATCGAAAGACGCGCTGGAGCGCCACTTGGTGATGCGATTGAGGGCGAGCCAAGAAACGACTCAAGGTCGCCAACGCAAAGGCGATATCTGGTCGGGCTCCGGTCATCAGATACATCAATGCGCCAATCGCAGAACCATAGCGGGCCTTAGCACCATCCTCCAGGTCCTCCTCGTCGATACTGGGGTTCAGCGAGACCCGAGGGTTCATCGGTGTCGACTTGGCTTGGCATTCTTCCATGCAGAAATCGGACAAGATCTTGCGGATATATCCCTGCTGGTGCAGAGAGACGGATCCGTCATCGTGGTAGGTGAACTGGATCCCAAGGAAGGAGCGTGGGGTTCCCAAATCACTCATCTTAAACTCAGATTCAAGAGCATCCTTGACGTCCCTGATTTCTTGCTCGCCGGCTGCGACCACGAGGAAATCATCCACATACACACAGATGACGCAGTTCTTGTGGTAAAACACACAATTGTCCGACTCGGCCATCGTAAAACCATGAGCGACCAAAACTCGCTTGACACACTGGTACCAGATTCGAGGACTCTGTTTAAGTTGAAGCTCAGAGCTGGGAGACAAGTGTGATATTCGATTCGAACTATCTATGAAGGTGTGGGAGTTACTTATAGTCACAGCCAGTGCCCGGGGCACTGGCTAGTGCAACAACTGCCTGGTAGGCAGTTGCCGCTAATTGCGATGCTGCCTACAGCGAGCATCACGTGATCTAGGATCCAACTGTTTAAGGCCATAGAGGGAGCGACGGAGACGACAGACATATCCTTCTTCGGTAAATCCTTCGGGAAGTTCCATGTAGATCGCCGTGTCAGCGTCACCATGGAGGAAGGCCGTCTGAGCGTCCAGATGTCGAAACGTCCATCCTTGAAGGACGGCGCCCGCGATGACGGCGCGGACGGAGTCCATGCGGGAAACCGCCGCAAACGTCTCGTGGTAATCGATGTGCTTCTTCTGTCGATACCCCTTGATCACCAGGCGAGCTTTCAGGGTATTGTTGGCCTTGACCTTGAAGACCCATTTACACCCGATGATCCGATGTGCTGCAGGGACTTCTTTCCGGCTGACCTTTTCCCAGGTGCCATGGTCAATCAGAGAGCGGTATTCTTGATGTATCGCATCCCGCCATTTGGGCGCGTCAGGGCCAGAAGTGGCTTCGGCGAATGTCACAGGTGTCGCCATTTCGTGAGCTGACGATTTGTGGGAAGACCGCGTGAAGTACGCCTTTCCTGCCGCTTCCAGGAGTCGGCGAGACGGATAGCGTCGTCGACCGTAGAGAGAGTAGCCTAGGTCAGGAATGGGGGATTCATCAACAGCATTGGGATTAACTGGCTCGAGGTCATCATTGGAAGTTGGATATTCTGGCGACCTTGACGGCACTTTCGGAGGAGTGAGGTCAGGAGATAATTCTGCCGGTATCGGGGTTGAACCAATGTCCTCTTGGTCCCCAGTGATGTTGCTACTCGCTTCCCCCTCGAGGACAGGCGCCACGGGGGCCTGCTCATCGAATTCAACATCACGGGAAAAAATGATGCGTCCTGAATGGACTTCATATAGTTTGTATTGGTCGGGTTCACTGTATCCCAGTAAGCGGCATTCTGATGATCGTGGATCGATCTTGTCTCGCTGTTCCTTGGGAATCAGGACCCACGCACGTGAACCGACGCGGCGAAGATGTGATAGGCGTGGCGGCTTCCCATAGAGTATTTCATAAGGAGTCTTTTTCTTCAGGATCGAAGCGGGAGCTCGCAACTTTAGATATGTGACGGTGTCTAAGATCTCGGTCCAGAAGGAGCGAGAAAGATTCGCATCCATCAAGATGGTGTTGATCCGTTCCTTGATGGTGCGGTTCGTTCGTTCCGCCAGGCCATTCTGCTGTTTACAGTATGGCGCCGACGTGTCGAATTCCACCCCTTGGGCTTCGAGATACGCACCGATCGGGAGGAATTCTCCTCCATTGTCACATAGAAATCGTCGAATCTTGGCATCAAACTGCCGGTGTACCCATGCTTCAAAGAGCTGGAACTGGTGCAGAGCCTGTGATTTCGACTTCATGGCATACGCCCACGAGCCGCGTGAGTAGTCATCGGTAAAGGTAATCACGTACCTGGAACCATCTCGGCCGGCGGGCATCTCGGCGAGATCAGAATGGATCACTTCGAAGATCCTCTTGGAATGCACATGCGGACGACGGCAACGGGAAAACCTCTTCCGATGCTGCTTACCCGCCATGCAAGCCCGGCAGCGCGGCGTTGCCTGCAGCTCCTGGCTCGTCAACGGTCGGTACGGAGTGCCGGATCGTCGGAGGACGTCTCGCAAGTCCCCCCGATTCAAATGCCCCAGTCGAGCGTGCCATAACTCTTCGGGTGTTCGGTCATCTCCTACAGCGTCTCCTTCGAGGACCATTGCTTCACCGTTATGGAGTTCAGAGGTGACTGTCGTACGACGCATGTCACTTAACTCCGGAGGTTCAACGTCCGAGCTGGCGACCTGAGATTCCAAGGTGCCCGCAACGTGCGTTGGGGACCTCGCCAGACTGACGTGGACCAAAGGCCGTCCGCTCACTGTACAGCGAAGAACCAGCAGATCGTCCGCGGTGTGGTACGCATTCCCTATCGTGTGACTTCCACGCTGGACGCGGATGCCACTCGGGTGTGCCACCACCGAGTAACGGTCTCTCAAGAGTTTGGGCACGCTGACCAGATTCATTCCGATCCGGGGTACGTAGTATACCTTCTTGAGGACAAGGGTACGAGGAGGGTTTCCCCCTCAGGCTGAGTTTCACGGTGCCGATCCCTTCCGTTTCCACCGGATCTCCCGCCGTCTCAAGCATCTCACGGTGAGGCCGCAGATCGATAAAACAATCTCGGTCCCAACAGATGTGACTGGTGGCGGCGGAGTCCAGGATCCACAGCGGGTTGGGCGCGCGGGTATAAAGAGCCGTCGCTCTCGTCCTCACGACATGGACCTTTTGTCTCTTGGAAGCCGCCGGGCCCTGCCGGTCTTCCTGCTGGCTTAATGAAGAACTATTACGATGGGGTGAGCCTGAATCACTCCGGTCTGCATTGGCAAAATCATCCTTGCGAGCCGGCTTAAGGTGCGGATTCTTCTTCCAACACTTCTGTACTTCATGTCCTCGCTTCTTGCAGTAATTGCATTTCTTGACGGGCGTCTTGACAGCATTGATCGATCCTTTCGTCGTGACGGTCGATCGCGAGGCTGTCTCCTTGCCTCGGACTGCCCGTTCGGCATTGGCAAGTCGAGTGCCCACTGCCGTGGCGTGGATGGTTTCTCGGCCATTTTGGATCGCGTCCACGATGAACGCGTATTCCGGTCCCACCTGCGTCAGCAGGATGGCAATGTGCGCTTTGTCGCCAATGGAATCCGGCGCGATGCCGTTGAGGCGATTGACCAGAAGACACACGCCGTCCACAAACTCGCGTGTGCTGTTGCAGCTGTCCGTCGTGGTTTCCTTGAGTTGCGCAAACAATTCACAGTACGTGGCTAGCTCCATTTGGCTGTAGCGTTCTTCGAGATCCAGCCACAGTTCTCAGGACGTGCCAATCCCGGCGGCGTGGATGCTTACTTCGGGTGAGAGATACCGGAGGATGGTGTGGTATGCTTCAGCTTCGCACTGGCTCCATTACCGGTAATATTCGAAGGATTGTACTTCGCTTTCGAGCCGCGTGGCAATCGCGTTCTGACGGACTGCGCCGCTGTGAGAACGGTCGATTAGGGGACCGATGCCAGAGGGGATCGGCTTGACATATTTGAACAAACAGTCCGGTCGTTCAAATTTGCCAGACACCACGTCCCATACTTGTCTTGCTTTCAAGTAAGAGACCATGAGACGTTTCCAGGTCGCGTAATTAAGGCTCCCGGTTAGCGCCTCGATGGCCGCTACCTGTTCGGTTGATTCTCGGGACAAAACTGCCATGGCGCGGGGAAGGACGATGTGCAATCACGTGCACGTAGGCAGGTTTCTCGGGTGATTAGAAAAGAAACGGCACCGGAGAGCATAGCTCTCCGGGCTCATAACCTGTTGTGGATTATGGCAGTGGAAGCATGGATTGATCCTGCTTGTTCTTCTTCTTCTTCTTCTTCTTCTTCTTCTTCTTCTTCTTCTTCTTCTTCTT